GTAATGGATCAATTGGTGTAGTAACTAAATTAATAGATGAAGATAATATAGAAGTAGCATTTCCTATAGATTCTGGAATAAATCAAGTAATAGTAAAAAAAATGACAGCTTATTTTGAGCTAAATGGAGCTCCTGCCCAACGAACACAATTTCCACTTCAAAATGCATTTGCATTAACTGTACATAAAACTCAAGGTCTTACATTACCTCATGCAACTATATCATTAGATGAACAAATGTTTGCTAATGGACAAGCTTATGTAGCAATGAGTCGTGCTACATCTTGGCAAAATATAGAAATTCGATCTTTTAATCCAAATGCAATCAAAGTGGATAATGAAATGTTAGCAGAATTGAATAGATTACAACAAAAATTTAATGATTTCCATTCACTATATTTATAAAATATGTATTATTATTATAACTTATTAAAAAAATAATAAATAAGTTGTATCAAAGGATACAATGTTCTAACCAAATCATATACAATTTTAAGTTGTTAATTTTTAAGCTTACTAACTGTGCCCAATTATCTCTAGTTAAGTATAAAAATTAAAATTCTGTCAAAATAATAACTGATTTATCTTTAAAAATAAAAATGAAAATAGAATTCCAAATTTTTTAATCTTCCTTAACCAGTAAATATGCTACAATTAAATTTATCAATTAAAAAATTTACTTCATTTTTAATACATCATTAAAGTGATTTACTTTCTTTAATGTTAGAAAAATTTGATAGTATTAGTTGAATTAGTTATAACGGAATCATGCACACAATGTCAATTAAATAAAAATTTTGTTTTTTTTCGTCTTATATGAGGGTTTTGGTAATTGTGTTAACAGAATCACTGAAACTGAAATTTTTTTATATTATTAGACGCAAATTATAAATATTTAAATCTGGATATGTGAGTATATATGAAGATACTAAATTATATACTGATCCTGATCAATATAATCACTGTCTCTTATACACATCTAAATAAAAAAATACAATTTTATTAATAAAAAAAAGTACCTTCATTATAACTAATTTATTTATAGTTACTATATACAAGTTTCAATTTTTATAACATGTGAATCCAATTTTAGATTATTTTTACTTACTGTGACGTAAATGATGATCAACTTCAATTCACGAAATTTATTTAAACAACTGCTGTCCAAAAAACAATTTTATCAATTGATATATTGAAATTGAAATTGAAATTGAAATTCATTGCAATGAAACGAAATTTATATATATTTTATATAAAAATGGACCCTGTTTTGCCATATTTGCTAACCAAATTAGGATCTACTTCCTTCCTTTTTTAAAATACAACTTATTGTTACAACGACCAATCATAATAAACAACACTATGAAATTTAGATCATCTGATTGCTAACAACTTTGTATCGTGATCTGTATATATTGATAATTAAATTTTACCTCAAAATCATTATTATGAGAATGATAAGAATTTTCGTTAAACATAGTTTCTAACAGTTCCAAATTAATATTATTTGGAATTGTTAAAAACCGATGATTTTTGTCTCCAGCTTTCCAATTTTCGCACCCAATAAACTTCTTCTTTGATGATATCAAACCATTTACCTGTGAATAATAAATTAAAAAAAAATCAATTAAAAATAAAAAATATATATATTTATATACTGTATATACAGTATAAAAATAAGAACCTGCGTGAGTTCGCCTAAAATTGGTCCACCGTTACATCATTTTCCATTTTTGTTAATATGGCTACATTTATATTCATACGCCTTGGCAAAAAAACTACAAATTCAAAATTAGGGTTAAAAATCAAACTACATATATTTAGACTTTAAAAATCTTACTAACCGAAGTGTAGTTTTTTGTGAAACTCTTCATTTGCATTAAACATATTTTCAAAAAGAGGTGTGGAAAAATCTACAGATGTGTGGCCAATATCTAATTCTTTAGATGCATATTGACACACTTTTACACTAAGACATTCGCGCTGTTCTTTAATTACTGAAATATTTGGAAAAAATTCACAGTTTTTTACTGTGCGAATTGTTCCATTTCCTCCATATGAGTATTGGATATTGGTTAATGCAAATGCTTTTCGCGCTTCATTTTCATCCCATCCTGATACATTAAAAATGCTCGCAAAACCAGTCTCGGACGTATTAGGATATTCCTGGAATTCTAAGTAATAACGAATCTCTGAAGCTGTTAAATTCTTTCCAAATTTAGTAATATTTTGAATAGGCCACTATAAAAAATGAAATATAAATTAATAATTATGATTTATTCAATACGAAAATATATATATTTTTAGTAATGATAACCAATTTTAACAAAAATAAATACTAATTTTAGTATTTTTAATAAGGATTAATTTTACATTCACCTCCGGTGAATTTCACCTTGATCTGCAATGCATTAAAATTTTAAATTTACCCCGGTGAAATTCACCAGGTGATTTCATATTACACAAACGCGTAGCGCATATTTTGTTTTTTGCTTTCTTGTAGTATTATTTCCAAAATGGCTGGAACTTCTTTAAGGTAAGATTTTTTTTATTTTCTTATTACTTCGCTAGTTTAATGTTCTTTTTCTCTTATGCTAACTCGTTAACTTGTTTTTCAGAAAACAATTTCAAATAACTTCAAGAGGTTTAAGGTAAGACTCACTTTTATTGCTAGTATTTTGCTATTTTATTGTTTTCTTTATTGAAAATAATACTAACAGTTTCTTTTATTTTCTATCATCACTTTATTCCCTTTTCATTTTCTATATCCATTTCACTCCCTTTTCATTTATTTGCTATTATTTTTTTCGCTCCTTTTGTTTTTTATTATTTCATTATTCCCTTCGCCTCCATTTTATTTTTCTATCATTCCCTTTGCTCCCATTTTGTTTTTAATTATCCTTTTCATTTATCATCGTCCCTTTCGCTCCCATATCATTTTTCATCACTCCATATTGCTGATTGCTCCATATCGTTTTTCATCACTCCATATCATTCCATATCGTTTTTCATCACGCCATATCGCTCCATATCATTCTATATACTCCATATCATTTTTCATCACTCCATATTGCCCCATATCATTTTTCATTGCTCCATATTTCTCCATATCATTTTTCATCACTCCATATTGTTCCATATCGTTTTTCATCACCCATATCATTTTTCATCATTCCATATCGCTCCATATCGTTTTTTTCATCACTCCATATCACTCCATATCGTTTTTCATCACACCATATCTTCCCATATCGTTCCATATTGTTTTTCATCACTCCATATCGCTCTATATCATCTTTCATCACTCCATATCGCTCCATATCGTTCCATATCATTTTTCATCACGCCATATCGCTCCATATCATTCTATATACTCCATATCATTTTTCATCACTCCATATCGTTCCATATCGTTCTATATCGCTCCATATCACTCCATATCGCTCCATGTCATCTTTCATCATTCCATATCGCTCCATATCGGTTTTCATCATTTCATATCGCTCCATATCATTTTCCATCATCTCCATATCGTTTTTCATCACTCCATTTCGTTTTGCAACATTCCATTTCATTTTTGTCATTTCATTTCATTTACATCATCCCATTTCACTCCCATTTTGTTTTTCATCATCCCTTTACTCCAATTTCATTTTTCACATTGTCTTTTTAATTTCATCATCCACTTCATCCCTTTTTTACATATTCATTTCTTTTCCGTCATAAAATTATTAATTGTTAACTGAATTATAAAGGATTATATATCTTATGCATTACTATAGGTTTTAAATTAATAAAAAACTTAGATTAAATGGTTAGTGGATGGGTGTAATAGTTTAATTAAAGTTATGTATATTCTTGTAATTTAAAAAGAAACTTTTCGTTAATAAAACTTTATAAGTTCATGCTAAATGGTCAATAGAAAAACTTTTTTACACGTTTTTATTCAAACATAAAAATTTGAAGTTACGTAATTACCGATCTTAGCAAAATTTTAATATAATAATAAATATCACGTGATATGGTGAAATTCACCTCCCGGAGTCCTCCGGTGAATTTAACCTCCGGTGAGCGTTAAAATGATCCTTTTAATAAACGTTTTTTGGCCTATTTTAGCATATATTAGGCGAATATATCAAGGATAAATTCTATAATTAGAAACTCCGGCATTTGCCGACACTAATGACTACAAATATCTATTTTACACCTTTTCTAATACTTGACTTACTTCTTCAACAAGTTCTTCGTTGATTATTATGGAATCTTCTGCCATTTTATTGGAGATTTATGTTTTACAAGTCTTTTGGACGCGTTTCTTTACAAAGAAAAGCAAAAAAAATAAAACAAAGAATTTTTTTTTGATCAAAGTTTGATTGGCGAATAGTCATTTTTTTTTTGTTTATTATTACACAAATGACACAATCATACGATCATCAAGTCATGTGGTGAAATAGGTTGTACTGTACAAATCAAGTAATCGTACAATCATCATTCGTACAGTACAGTTTTGTGGTTCGTACAGTACAGTTTATATGTATACCCGTGATAATGCATATACGAAATAAAAATCACAATAAGTGGTAATACTTTTACTTACACAATATTACCGGCTAGATTTAATTCCGCTTTTGACCTCTATTTGACACCAAGAGTGAGGCCGAAGAAGACTTATCTTCTGGATGTATATTCAGTTGCATCATAAACTCAAATTTACGAAACCTAGAATTAGCGCCGTTGATCGATTTGATCCTTATATAGTTTGCGGGTACACGTATCATTCGTATCAAGGAAAAGATCGGAATTCGAAGTCAATTTAACAACACTAGCCGTTCAAACTAATGATAATTTATTATTTTATTAATAAAATAAAAAAGGTACAAATAAATGAAATACAACAAAACAAAAATTACTAAAGTAGAAATCAAATAGAAGGGAATTGAAGCAATAAAACGCTAATTTGTAAAAAGGGCAGACTACATCGAAATTATCAGTTACAATAATTTAAAGAGGAGGTTGCCAGCCTCGATAATGTATATCAAAAGATAAACAGCCTACTTCACTAGAACCAAATTCCCTATGGTAACAATTAGTATATACTGAAACCCAAATATCAAACCAGGTATTAGAAGGTGTTTGAGAAGCATCAAATGACCTGGTTTCCGTGTATGGATTAACCTCATTACCATCTATTTCACAATGATGACCTTGAACAAACTGAGGATTCTTCAAAAATCTCCATTCAACACCACTATCAGCGTGGAAAGTATAGTGACCGAGTGCTTGAACTGGTGTACGTCCTTCCCAAGTTTGAATTGTAATTGTGAGTTCTCCACTTGTAAAAGAGGCATTGGTAACTTCAGGATAGTGGGGTGCGCCTTGATCGCCTTCTCCACTAGGATGACACCCGAGAGATTTTTCAACATTTGTAAGGAAAAAAAATACAAGCAAAGTGAATGAAATAATAAAGTACTTTTGATTCATGATGAATACGGTTTATATGTTTCCAGTGTGCTTATTTATATATTCTGTAAAAAAAATTATCTGTTTTAATCTTCCTTTTTTTTTCATAAAGTCTCATTTTATTCATGAAAGTACTCTTATTTTAATTGAATTAAAAATGGAATTTTTATTTTATTTCATTTACAGTATAAGAAATCTTTATTAATGTGAATTTCACATGGTATCTGGTGACATTTCGCTGAAAATACATTTCCCGAAGTAGTTGCAATTTGAGGATCATCTGTCAACTGTCATGCAGATCCGATCTGCCGGTTTGGATTTCGAGTTATTATGTCCAAAGATCTAGCCGAAATTATGGAATAGTGCTGGCCGAAATGATTGTTAATTTACTGCGCCTTCAGTTCTGGGCACTTCCCTGTCACTTTCTCGCAACCTTCTCGCAACCCAATATATATGCATTACTTATTTTTTGTATGCGGTACCTATGGTACCCCCGGTTGCCTCCCCTTTCTATTTGCGGGATGTTGTAAGCACTTTCGAGGTCCAATCATGGTTTAAATCGGGTTGAGGCAATGTGTATGCTATTTTTTTTTGAGCGTCCCTATGAAAATTCTCCGTCCCTATAAGAAAAATTCATAGGGACGCTTATAGGGACAATCTCGATATCATTTTTGGGCTTCTTAGCTAGGACTGGCAGACTTCAGAGGCATTAGGAGAGGCTCTCGATGGAATGAAAATGCCTAATGCTATAGGTTGGCCCTAATGACTTATCAAAAATTTGGCCCCATGAAAAATTTATAGAGACGGCAAAAAAACTTAACAAGGACGCTAGAAGTATCTTTTTTGACGATATTGGAACTCTGGAAAGGGATTTTTACTACCCGTCCCTATGTCCCTATGAGTCCCTATGAATTTTCGAACTCTTTACCTTTTTTTTTATTTTTTTATACCATACATCGATCATATATCAATTATATCAATTATATCAACCATATACATGACTATATTTACCTATAAGAATACCATAGGAAAGTCGAATTTTTTTCCTAGAACTTTTATATTTCATAGGGACTCATAGGGACATAGGGACAAATCATTCCTCTTCATCTTCTTTTTGTCTCCCATAACTCCTTTTTATTTCTCATCACTCCTCTTCGTCTCCCATCACTTCTCTTCGTCTCCTATTACTCCTTCAGTTTTCATCTCTCATTATGTCCTATTTTCCTTTTTGTTTCCTATCACTTCTCATTACTCTTTTTACTCCCTTTCATCTTCTATTACTTTCCATTACTCCACTGTTATTTCATTTTTTTATTAGCATCTTTCTCCTTGATCATTGTAATTTACTTATCTTTTTTTATTTATTGTTATTGTTAATTTTATTTGTACACTTCAATAAAAATAAATATGGTGATTTTTTTCTTTAAAATCGTAAATGTGGGACTTAAATTTTAATATTTGTCAAATAAAATTTCATTAAATAAATAATTATCATTATTGATGTTTATCAAAAGTTAATATGCTGACTGCCAGTTCTTATAACGGGTACCCGCCGTTTCTTATAACGGGTACCTGTCATAACATATAATGTATATAATGCTATGAAATATAGCGTATTAAACGCTATTTTTTGCAACAGGTTACCCCTGAAACAGACAGAACAGGGGTAACCCGCCATGAAATATAATGTATACATGCTACAAACATAGCATATACATGCTATGTTTGCTACGCACTTTTGACCATGGCGGCTTTCCATAATAAATTCTACAGATCACATTTACCGTTGAATCTGATCCATTTATGATTTATTGTCCGAATAGGTACCTACAAAATTTAGGAATACTATTTCTTTTTTGTTTGTGTAACATAACTGTCGAGTGGGAGAAAAGCTACACAATTACACCAAAGGAGTCTTATCGTGACACCACATGATTGCAATGATTTCAAATACAACAATATAAAAAAAAAATAATAATAATACAAAAATATAGTATTTTAGGACAATACTCATACTGAATTTTAAAAAATATTGTTAACACACAAATATGGTGAAAATATTGTCTGTATGAAAATTCTTTTGTATGTTGTGATGTTTCAGCTCCTAAAAAGTGTAACTAAAAATTTGACGTATTGTAGATCAATTACTAATTGTTTTTTCAAACACGGAGACATGCATAAATGCACACAATATTAAACATTTTTCAATCCAAAAGTATGAAAAAGTATAAATTAGCAAAAAATTTTCTTAAGAAGACAAAAAATTAAAATTCAATCAATTAAAATTCAATCAAAAAAAAAAAGAAAAAATACTTTGATAGTTTTTTTCGCATAATTCAAACTCTTAAAATCAATTAAATTCTTTAAATTTCCTAACAAAATGAATCAGACTGAAGTTACCATTAAACTATCCATTCCATCTATCGCAACTGCTGAAGCCACTGAAAAACCGGGTGAATCTGGTGGCTGTACAATTATGTAATAAAATAAAATTCTTTACATTTACGAATTTTATCGTCAGATCTGATTGGAAATTAAACATTTATGTATTGTTAAATAATCATTTGTCTATAGTTTACAACTTTTAAATTCTATTTATTTGTAATATACATTATACTTTATATATATATATTTCGTTAGTTTACCTGTGTTATTATATTATCAAATTACTTAATATTCGAATCACTATTACTTTTAAAACGATTTCGGTGTTTTAAAACATGTGTTAAAAAATGTTTTAAAACACTTCGATATTATAAACTTAATGTTTTAAATCTTAAATTTAGGTTAAAAATCAATTCATATATAATAAAACAAAAACTGTTTTAGAACATGTTGTTTTAAATTACGTGGCATACCTATCTGTATTTTATCGTTTGTGTATTCTAAAAATTGCAAAAATAAAATCACATCTTTAAATTCATTATTTAAAATGTTCTAAATTCTAATAATTTTGGCAAGTTTGAGGTTGCCTTAAAAGTTGCTTGTCTAAACCATAATTAATTTTCTAATAGTGTACACAGAAAATTTTCTATGCTGATCACGTAATAAGAAAAAAAAATCTTTTTGATGCAAAATACACAATATTTATTAGGACCAGTTGATCATCTTTATAAGTAAATATTTTTGTTAGAAGATATCATTTCTGTAAAAGATTTATCCGAAATTTCTATATTACGGAAAAATAACTAAAAATCTATACATTTTGAGACTATAAATTCCGTGAATGTAATACATTTACGGAAATAACAGAATAAAAAATACGGAATAAATTTATTATAGGGAATCCTAAATTATTATTAAGTTAAACACAAACTAAGTAATGATAATCAAAAACTCGATAAAATAGTATATATTATTGTAAGTGATCATCTTAACTCTAAAGTATAATTCTAGTTAAAACATATACAGTCGACCCCCTATATAGTCACCCCCCGTATAATCACAACATATAAAATTCCCCTTTATAAGCACACCATATTTTGGCCCAATGTACTAATAAATATACCTCCTCTATAATCACAACATATGACTTTTTTTATAATCACACCCTTTTTTTTCGGTCCCAAGGGGTGTGACTATAAAGGGGGCTGACTGTATGTTGTATTGCTTCTAGTGAAAGATTTCATTCATGTAATATATCAGTATGTAAAGAGTCCTTTTATTGAGGTGCGAAAAAAAAAAATAAAAGTTTTATGGATGAAAAAAATTTATGGCTAGCTGCGGGTGAAACGTTAGGAAATGAGCCGGCTGACGCTTGTTCTTTCCTGTTTAACTTATTTTTATTACGTAGCTGATTCTCAAACTAGACCTTCCCTTCGTATCAGATTGAACCCAAACCTTGAACGTACGATATTAATTTATTTTCTTTAATAAATTACTGTTTTTGTCAGTTTAAACAAATTAATTAATATTATTTTTAAACATTAATTTGAAACGTATTGCGCTTAATAATTGATAAAATTGTAATTAAACGTTTTTAATTTCCTTTAATCCCTTTTAAAGAAATAAAATCCTTTAACTTTCAAAATATGAAAGATACAGGTATTGTATGTTTTAAACAGTAAATGGGAAAAATGGGATAATATTCGCTTAATATCCGATTTGAGTATTAAGTTAGTTGACAAATTAAGCAATTTCATAGTAGACTTTCACCATTTTTTTTATTTTTATCTTTATTTCACAGAGTAAATAAAGTTTCAGTCAGTAAAGACTACAAGAGACTTTATACAAATAGAATCGAAAGCAGTACAAAATAGAAAACTGTTAATTTAAGTCACAACTTTTACGACACGTGATCATTTTTCTGGAAAATTTTTTATAGAGAATGGTTAGCATAAACAAAATAGCACACACCAGAAAAATAAAATTGCGAAATAAAAACAAATTAATATGAAAAGACAGAGATTTTATCGTTAACGAAATCGTTAGTGGTGTCCTTATCCTTCTTTATATTCTTGGGTTTGATATCTTTGAAATTATCAAAGAGCTTGTTGATGAGTGACGCAAGCGCGTCGGTCATGTGACATTACAAAAGGGGATGGAATTTGGCAACACTGTTGCAACGAACAGAAGTCTGATTGTTTTTGAAGGTGCAAACAAGGGATATAGATGCCAAAATAAAATCGATACCTTTTGTAGGAAAAATTGAAAAAAGTTCGAGTGGTGAGATTTCTTTTATCCTTTTTATTGGCACGTGACACTATCACATAGGTACGATCCAATAATTTGTGTCTAATCATGTAATTCATGTTAAAATATTTTTGCTGAATACGTCGGGGGATAACTCTTTGTAGGGAAAAGAAATGTGTGAACATGCAACTTATTTGGTATTTGTTGTTCGGAAGAGAACTCGGGGAGTTAATCTAACTGGGGAAGATTTTTTTCATGAAATAGTCGTTGGTGTGTATCTTCAAATGAAGCTCATTAGTGTATTTACTGCACACAATCTAAAGCCAGGTAACTTTAATGGAAAGCTATAAAAAAATTTAAGCCTGTTATTTATAGAACATTACTATGTGATTATAATAAAAGAGAGTTTTTTCCAATTAGACAATTCGATCATGAAATCTATTATTATATGTATTCTATATTAAAGTTGAAGAACTTGGCCATAATAAATTAGACCGGAGTTAAGGTTTAATGATAATTCCGGCCAGATTTTTCAATAAGCGAAATCATGTCGCATAATCTTCATCCTGTATCCTGAAATCTTTTTCGCTTAATCTTTAAATGTACAACTTAAATACACTCAAGAAATAAAAAAAAAACAGACGCACTTATTAGAAAAACGAACTGAAGAGGATATTTTTGTTAGAGAATAATGAAATAGTAAAAAAATGATCAATTAACTGCTAACAAATAGTGAACTAGAGGATATTGTAAGGAGTTTGAAAAAACACTTAATGAACTCTTCCAAATAGCTTTTGAAACAATATTAAAAGCTGTTAAAAACCCTAGTGTTTTTCAAACAACTCAGCCTATTTCTTATACTGGAATTTCTTTGAAAACATAACGCCGAAAAAGAGCGGAAGATACGTAATCTATATATTAAATCACGTGATATATATATTGTTAAAATATTACCTGGCTTTAGACTGTGTGCACTATATCTTGTTATAACCTGATCGGTTTTGTTTAGTCACGTGAAATTTATTCAGGGAGACCTGAAAAGAATTTTTCGTAAAATTGCGAGTGGGTTGAAAATTGGTAGACGACATGTCGAAGCAGCAAAAAAGAAAAAATTTTTTAACTCTTTCGATAAGAAGTTGGTCAAAAATATTACGTTTTGGGGGATATATAGAAGACCTTATCGTAAAACGATGTATAATTCTATTAAAAAATTACTTTTACCATATGTATATACTAAAAAATATGGATAAAGTGGTATCATAAGTATTCGCAAGTTGTATTAAGGTTAAAAAACAAACAAACGAGATAAGTAAAATAGGTCTATTTCGTAAAATAAAAAAAAAAAAAATTCTACTGCTCAAGAAAGAGTTGTTTTTTTAGACTTGAATAAGGTTTATTTATTTATTTATTTATTGTAAATCAGGAGGTTACTTATACATGAAGAGATATAAAGTACAAAGTACTAAATCTAAAAGTAACACCATCTAGCTAAGCCAGACCCATCAAGTTGTTCCAAGAAAGACCTTGACCAGAACACGTCAGAAACGGCCAAGATGGAAATGGATTAAATAAATAAACAAAAATAACGCACTGGGAGACTTGAATAAGGTTCTTTGATAACAAATCTATAATACTTTCGTATTATCTGAGTCACGTGATCTGTTGTGAATTCAATAATCCGGTAGAAAAATTCTTCATGTAATCGAGCATCTATGTCAATAAGTTTCTTAGGTGTTTGAAAATTTATAATATCATAATGATATAGAGTTCTGTTCGTAATGAGCCATGAATTTTTAAATTAACGTATATTGAACTATTTTATTTCGTAATTTAGCTTCAACTTACTGCTTTAGTTATTTCATTTGTTAGGGAGGAAAACTTATTTATATTAAAATTTTACGTTATTATTAATAATTGTACATCTATATAACTAAAAAAAATTTGTTTGACGACTCTGACGTGCATAAATAATTTGAATTGTGTAACTTGCCATATAATTAATGGTCAAAAACTTCAGTTAATAAAATTTTACCTTGATCAGAATTTTTTTTTTAACTTTTTTTGGTTCCTTTTTTTTAAAAATTTTTTCTCCCTTTTCTTTCAGTTTAGTTTTTTTTTTAAAACCGAAAAATTTGTTTTTCTCATTCTTTTCCCTTTAGGTTTAATTTTTTTTTCCTAAACTGAAAAAAATTTTTTTATTTTTTATTAAATAATCCCCATTGTTTCCGTCCTTTAAGCCCATTTTTTTATATTATTTTTTTCGATCTTTTTTTTTAAAAAAAATTTTTTTTTCACTCTTTTTGGATCGGATTATTGTCCTTTTCGTACTTATTTTTTTTTTCGGATTCCTTTTTTTCGGAAATTTCCCCTTTTTTTTAAACTGATTTCTTTTCTTTATCCTTTTTCTTCCCTCCAAATTTTTTTTAAATTTTTTTTATTATTAAATAAAAATAAAAATATTATATTAAATATATTTGCAAAATTATTATTTTTAAAAAAAATCAATATAACATAGTAATAGATAAAGGAAAATTGACCGACGTTGATAGAATGATGAGTAAGATTTTTCAAATTATATTGAACGCTGGATAAATAGTTTGATTTTCAAATTCATAAAAATCAATTAATTATAAAACATGTAAAAATATCAATTTTATAATAGATTATTATAACCAAATCCATATCCGAAATTCTAAATAATCACCAGATTTTTGAATAAAGATTTTAATTCAAATGGTTTAGTTAAATTAATAATCCGATATATTTTCCCAAAACAAATTAAAAGTACTGTAGTTCTTTTATTAGAAAAGCACATCCATTGTATTTTAAGTCTTAAATTTTATTATATAATCAAAATTTTTTTCAATACATTCTGCTGTACCTTCTGTTGAAGTTAAATGATAGTTATTATGTAAATAACTCACGGTAATTTTCACTTAAACATATATAAAAATGTAAAATATTGTAACTAGAAAATAATAATATAGATTATGATTTTAACTTAAAAATATATTATTTAAATTAAACGGTATAATCAAATGAAAAAATGGTCTATTTCTATCGTTCCAGAGTGTTTCAACTGTTTCATAATGTCCACAAAGGTTAAAATTATATATATATATATTTTTTCTTTAGAACTCTGTAATTATATTTGAAGTTACATAGTAAATATATATCACAATGTTATTTTGTTCTTATTTTCACGTCGCACAAAAAAGGATATTGTGTTTTCTGCGCCACAGAAAATATATTCGTGCTACCATATGATCTTATTAAGCGCACAAAGTAAATTATGATAAAGAAAAAAATAAATTTTATATTTATTTGCATTGTGAAACTTAAAATATATCCATTCCAATAAAAATCAATTTATCATGTTGAGTTTCTAATTTCGACTTAGGAAATTGAAAAATTAAAACAAAGACTTGAATGGTGAATGGTTACAGCAACAACTATTGTGCAGCCAAATATAAAGATCGTCTTTGTTTTTTATATTTAAAACAAAGATCAGCAATTTTTTTTTTTGTTTCCCATAAAAACCTTAAATGAAAATAAAATGGTGCAGTATGGCGAGTCTTTATATTGCAATTCACAAAGAAGTGAAACGAATAATTAAAAAAAAAAAAAGTCTTTGTTAAAAATAATATATAATGAAACTTGCACTTGATAAAAAAATTTTAAGTTTTTACACCTATTTATCAATTTTAAATGGCGTCATTTTTACCAATAGAATGCCTAGAAAAAATATTTTTATATCTTCCTAATAGAATTTATGGAATTCCCACTGATAGTTTCCGTAAAGAGATATCAACTAAAGATTTATATTATTGTACGTTAGTATCAAAACATTGGTGTAGAGTTTCAACACCAATCTTATATGCATATCCATTCCCAAGTTATTCAAGTTATTGTAGGAACCCTTCAGCAGATTTAGCATTTTCTTATATTAGATTGCTTCGTACCCTATTAAGTTGTACTCCTAAATCGGAAATTGAACAGATGATCTTATCAGATTCGTCTAATCCAACATTTAATTATATCTCTTTTATTCGTGGTTTAAATTTTGATCTAGAAATTTTAGAAAAATTAAACAATCACAAATCATTATGGTTACCCCTTTTTGTTTTAAATAATATAAAAAAAAATCAAATTCCAAAAATATCATCCTTAATTTTAAATCATCTTGCAAAAACCTTGAGTACACATTGCAACAATAATTTAACAAGATTAGAAATTGTATTTACAAATGATAATATCAAGTTATTTAATAACATCGTTGAACCGTTAACTATCAATTATTGTGATGAAAGAAGTAAATTGACCAAACTAAAAGAATTATATTATATCAACAATTATGATAGCAAAATTGATCTTTACTCTGCTTTTTCGAATAAAGTTCGTAACTTAAATTTACTTCACAACGAGGGAAACGATTCTATCAAAAAAGCAAATTCATTATCACATTTTATTTCTTTACAAAAAAAGTTGCAACATATTATATTATCGGAATTTCCAATGGATAATGATAATGGTGACTATTATAATATTGTATTTGAATCATTATCAACACAAAGTGAAAATTTGCAGATATTAAACCTGAAAAATATACCTTTTGATAAAATAAATGGAAATGTATTAAACTCATTATGTTCACTTAAAAATATCAAAGAGTTAAGGCTAAATTATTGCATAGGAATAGGTAATAATTTAATTCCATGGGCGGAGCATCTAAGAAAACTTGAGGTTTTTGAATTCTCAACATATGATGACGGGTTTGAAAATTTTCTGAACCAACTAATTCAGTCTTCTTCAACTACTCTAAATAAACTAATTATAAATTATGAAAGGACAAATGAACGGGATTGTCAATCATTATTAAAACAAATTCCACTTCGCTTAAAATCATTAATTCATTTAGATCTAACTGGAATTTATCCATATGAGTTGATTCTTATATTTAAATTATGTACTCAATTAGTTTATCTTAGTACAACATTAACAAATGATATATCTTGGACTGGAATAAAATTTAAAAATTTAGGTGAATCAATCCCTAAAAATTTACAAAAGATTCAATTTAAAGATGTGTTTGATCCGGTATTCAAAGTTAATTACTTAGAATGCTTCTTTGAAGAGTGTTTAAATAACAATAGTAAATTGAAATATTTAGAAATTGTTGGAAGTCATAAAATCGATCAAAAGTATTTTGATGTCGCTAATAAATTTGGTATACAATTAATTGATAAAAGTGATACCTGATAAATAGCAAATTCTATATAGATAGTAGTTAGAGTAATATATATAATCATAAAAAAATTGTAAAATCTATCTCTTAATTAAATAAAGTTATTTGGTATTACGTTAAAAAAAAAATTGACATATAAAAAGTGGTCTAAAAAGTGGTCTTAAAAAATTTATGAAAAAGAAATATAACTGCTAATACAAAAAGAAACTCATTTAAGCTGAATTTAAAGAAATTTGCAATTAACAATTTGATAAAAATTATTTTATTATTATTAAACAGTTTTTTTAAAAAAAAAAATTTGTTACATCTACCCGAAAGATACTGATCGGCAATAATGTTGGCCAAATTCATAGCTTCGGCAAGAATTATGAAATTTCTAAATAAGGATATTGTGTCGGTGTAATGATATTAATTCTGGCCAGCCCAATAGTGCCAGCCCACATTATAGGGCTGTTATTTTCTAATGCTTGTAATCTCGTGATTTTGGATATTGATTAATAAATTGATGATTCTAAGTCCGTAATAGTACACTCTATTTTGTTTTCAGATTAATAAATAAAATTTTTCAGCAATAATCTTTTGCTATATTTAAGTTCCTGAGTTAGGATCTTTGCAAACGTTGAGATTTTTGACTTGCGAAATTACAAGTTTATATGTTGCAATACTATGTACAAATTTCTAGTATTATTTAATAAATCTAAAATTGTATTTGTGTATATCCTGTAAAAAATTTGATCCTTGTTTTATCGTTCCATGTTTTTTCCGTGTAAATTTTCACGGAAGTCACGGAGAAATAATGGAAATATTCGAATAAAAATTTTTATAGGATAGGATAAAAAAAGTAGGTGTTCAACACGGGTTTCCAAAAAAGTAAATTTTCTATGCTGATCATTTAATGTTGGGCAGAATTAAATTTAACGAAAAAAAACGAGAAAAAAAAATAAATCAAAATTGACATTCGAAATCAGCTTTGACGCTTTAAGTAAACTATAGAACAGACAAAAATACACATATTGCATGCTCCTTTTGAAATTATATTTATTAAAAATTTTTTTATATAACTTTTAATAAAGTCACGTGATACATGATGTATGAACACCCAAGGCAAATTAAGAAGTATTACAATTTACAAAAAATTTATTTGCGTCTGCTTATCTGAAATTTTTTTCGGTATCATTTAATGAGCGTTTACAAAATGGAATCTGACATTGAAAACATTTTATTTTATTTTTATTTTTCATATAAGAGACGAGAACTGGGACAACAAGCCACTGCTAGACGAACGAATTACAAAAACGATACAAAACTAAGCTAACGCGAGTTTATCCAACCCCCCAGGCACTGGTAGAGGAGTCGGACATTGAAAACATTGAAAATGAATTTGATTTACTAACTCATTGAAAATTGATTATCACGTGAAATCATAAATTTTTATTGGTAATCAGTGTTTATTATCATGTGAAATCTGACCAATAAACGGATTTAAAAATTTACACGTGTTACGTCTAATATATTTATTTGGTATGGAATCATATAGGTAGTGTTACATATAATCATGAATGAAGTAAATATTTTTTTTAAATGTTCATCGTACAGCTACTTTTTATGATAGTATTGTACAGTTAATAATTGATTTGTAGTTTCGTACATATAATAATGTATAGTATACTATAAATTTAAATAGTAATATATATATAAATTTTTTTGAGTATAATCTATTTAAAAAAAAAGGAAAAAGTTATGCAAATGAGAAAAAGAAATATTAATTTAAAGGGTTAAATTAATTATGATAACCTTTATTCTACATTTAATTTATTAATAAACTTTATCGTACAGTGCTTTGACTTTAATTCAGTTTTGCCATCCTTTTTAAGGACAAACAGCATGTTACAAATTTATCTAAGCGTTGTACGCTTGAAACAGTGCAATATGCGTAATATGCGTTTAATAGTATTAAGTTAACGAAATAGGCAATTTCTTAGATTTTCATCATTGTTTCCAGTTTTAGAATTAAAGAGAATAAATTATTACGGTCAAAAAAAATTCTTTGTTTAAATATGTTTAATGTATTAAATTATTGTTTAGAAACGCACTCATGACAGCAGTGTGACAAACTATTTTTCGATTACTCAAAATATTTAAAATATAATTAATATGTGGAAAAAACGGATTGTTATTAACAATACAGAAAAAAGACAAAGGTTTCAGGTATACCCAAGTCGCATACAGTCAGTAAATGTGCTTCAATTTTTTTGATAACGATAACTTCTTTAACAAAAGAACTTCAACGAATAAAAATCATAACTTATTATTTTTTATCGGCACAGAAGAAAATTTTATAAAGCTCCTAGAGAATTCAACGAAAAAAATTTTTTTTCAAAAAATATCTAGACTTTACCATAAAGAACGTTCTTTATTTTCGTGTGATAACTTATAGGGAACTTTAGTGTTATAATGTTCTATCAAAAATATATATTCTACTTACATAATTGATATCGGAAAATTATTTTCTCATAAAACAAAAAAATTAAATTTTTTATTTACAATAAGTTTTTTTGGTTTGTGGTGTTTTAATTTGATCATCATGGTTTAGAAAAAACAACGATTCTTTGTAAACATAAAACTCTTGTAAATACTAAATACGTTTAATCATATAACAGCCTAAAACGGGATATTTTTTCTTTGTATTTAAAAATATATATACCCGCTCACAAAAATTGTTGACATGATAAAAAAGATACTTCACAGTTATTTTTTAATAATTTTGTTATCTTCTTAATAATTTTCGTCCCCTTATCTTCTTTTCTTTTCCATCAGCTGGTCTCTTGGATTTATCTTATCCTAAAAATGAATTCACTAGTTGTCCTTTATAAAATACTTCGTAAATTTTATAGAGAATTAAAACGTATAGAAAAAATTTTCTTGTATACATACATTATAGATATGGCCACATATAGTTTCCTGTTCATTGGCACTTTATACTTAAGTGGAAAATTCGATGTTAATTATTTACTTTTTCCAATATTATTTTTTCCTATAATATCAGGGTTAATTATGGTAATATGATAATGTTTTATACTGAAGATTGTTTAATATATTTAATACTAGTAACTAATTTATTTTATTATTTATAGTTCTATGGTAAAACTGTTTACCATGGATTAGCATTCCTTGGTGTACACTCGTTTCCTATTTTTGCAGGAATAGCTTATTTTTACACTCAATATTTTCATTGTAGAGAACATACTGTCGTATGTAACGCAAATAATCCAATATATTATGCGGGTGTAGCTCTTTTAGTCGTACTTGTATTTTTATTTCAATTGCTATATACATTATATGTGTACTTAATATGGAAGAAAAAGTAAGTGACAATATCTGATATCTTTCAATTATGTAACAAAAAAAATAATAGTAATTAAATTTATTTTCATTTCATTTTAGAATATGGCCTTTAGTATATGAATTCAAACATTCCAGACATGATGAGATTAAAGGTAAATAATCCATTTATTCAAATCCTTCAACATAGTATATATATGTTTAATTTTTAAATTCTTCTCTTAGAAATGCACGCGATTTATGAAGTACAATTTCCATTGTTCCATGCACAAATTATGATGATAGGGTTGTGGTTAGTTACTTACTTTATAGGAATAACTGGTTTAAACCTGCTATCACTAACAAAAAGACAAATAAAGATTCGAGGTTTATATATCAATTATCAAGTGCCATTCAACATAATATTTCATTTTTATTCGTTTTTTATGCTCAAAGGTGTAAGTACATTATTTTTTTGTTCTTTAATATAATATATTGTTATTATACTAAAATAATATACCAACATATTTAGGTGAGGGACGAAAAACATTACTTGATGTTTATCGTATATGTCGGAAATGTTATTCAAGCCATATTACTATATATTGATCTGAATAGTTACTGTAAAAGATATGCTTTTTTAGCAAAATTAGATTCCCTGTCACAATGCTTTCAGTATAATATGATTTTTGATATGTTTTCATTATACGGTAATACTAATTTCATATATTTTATATTGTTTTTAAATTAGTAATGAAATTATACTAATAATCTTTTTTAAAAATAAATATATATATTATTAGCGTGTTTATGTTGGATTGTTTTGGCATTATCAACATGGAACACTATTAGGTGTCATATAAATTTCAATAGAAATATGTCAACATATAGTATGTAAATTCTGTTCTTCGTTATCATTATTCATTTTTGTTCAATACTAATAACTAATTAACTCTTTAAATAGTAACATACGAACCAACTCCTCCGGAATTTGAATCCGGGAGAAAATTAGTAATAAGAGAATCAAATGAGCCAAAGTATTCACACATCGTCTAAATAAACAACTAATTGAATATTAATATATTATAAAATTTAAAAATGGATTTTAAATCTAAATTTTTTTAGAGAAAATGTACAATTCTATTAATAAATAACGTAAAAGTTTAATATAAACAAGTTTTCCCTCTAGAAACAAATAAAATAACAAAGCAGCAAGTTGAAGCTAAATTACGAAATAAAATAGTCCAACAGAACTCAATAAAATAATTCGTGATAACCTATTGAAACTTACTTCTCAAGCCAAAATCATTATATCATTATGATATTATAAATTTCAAACACCTAAGAAACTTATTCGTAATTAACCGACATACTAGATGCTCGATTACATGAAGAATTTTCCACCGGATTATTGAATTCACAATAGAACACGTGACCCAGATAATAAGAAAGTATTATAGATTTTTTATCAAAGAGCCTTATTTAAGTCTGCTCACATTCGATGGACTTTTTCTAATTTTTTACATACAATAGATTTATTTTCTTTACAGAAACTTCAAGATCGTAGCGATGGCTGAATGCGCAGTAACTGCGTTATAAATACACAGTGACCACATTATGTAATCGTAAAGAAATTACATATATGCAGTTACTGCGCATTAAGCCATCGCTACGATCTTGAAGTTTCTGTAAAGTTCTTATATTTAATTTTTTTCTTCTCTGTCTTTTCATATTAATTTGTTTTTATTTCGCAATTTTATTTTTCTGGTGTGTGCTATTTTGTTTATGTTAACCATTCCCTTATAAAAATTTTCCAGAAAAATGATCACGTGTCGTAAAAGTTGTCTTCTAGGCGACTTGGTTTACAGTTTTCTATTTTGTACTACTTTCGATTCTATTTGTATAAAGTCTCTTGTAGTCTTTACTGAAACATTCTTTACTCTGTGAAATAAAGATAAAAATAAAAAAATGATGAAAGTCTACTATGAAATTGCTTAATTTGTCAACTTAATACTCAAATCGGATATTAAGCGAATATTATCCCATTTTTCCCATTTACTGTTTCAAACATACAATACCTGTATCTTTCATATTTTGAAAGTTAAAGGATTTCATTTCTTTAAAAGGGATTAAAGGAAATTAAAAACGTTTAATTACAATTTTATCAATTATTAAGCGCAATACGTTTCAAATTAATGTTTAAAAATAATATTAATTAATTTGTTTAAACTGACAAAAACAGTAATTTATTAAAGAAAATAAATTAATATCGTACGTTCAAGGTTTGGGTTCAATCTGATACGAAGGGAAGGTCTAGTCTGAGAATCAGCTACGTAATAAAAATACGTTAAACATGAAAGAACAAGCGTCAGCCGGGCTCATTTCCTAACGTTACACTCGCAGCTAGCAATAAAATTTTTTCATCCATAAACTTTTGTTTTTTTTGCAGCTCAATAAAAGGACTCTTTACATACTGATAGTTTTTAATTATTAACTTTGTGTTTATCTTAATAATAATATAGGATTCCCTGTAATAAATTTATTCCGTGTTTTTTATTCTGTTATTTCCGTAAATGTATTACATTCTCGGAATTTATAGCATCAAAATGTATAGATTTTTAGTTATTTTTCCGTAAATATAGAAATTACGGATAAATCTTTTACAGGAATTATGTCTTCTAACAAAAATATTAATTTTTCGTTACTTATAAAGATGATCAACTGGTCCTAATAAATATTGTGTATTTTGCCTGCTAAAGCATCAAAAAAATTTTTTTTTTTTTCTTTAAGTGATCAGCATAGAAAATTTTCTGTTTGGAACCCGTGTACACTATTAGAAAATTAGTCAGATTTATTATGGTTTAGACAACTTTTAAGGCAACCTCAAACTCATCAAAATTATTAGAATTTAGAACATTTTAAATAATGAATTTAAAGATGTGATTTTATTTTTGTAATTTTTAGAATACACAAACGATAGAATACAGATAGGTATGGCACGTAATTTAAATTAACATGTTTTAAAACAGTTTTTTCTTATATATAAATTGATTTTTTAACCTAAATTTAAGATTTAAAGCATTAAGTTTATAATATCAAAGTGTTTTCAAAACATTTTTTTAAAACATGTTTTAAAACTCCGAAATCGTTTTAAACCACGTCCCTAATTACAGAATATAAGACAAAATATGAATAGTGACTCGAATTATTAAGTAATTTGATAATATAATAACACAAGTAAACTAACGAAAGGCACAATATATTATTACAAATAAATAGATAAACTATAGACAAATGATTATTTAACAATACATAAATGTTTAATTTTCAATCAGATCTGACGATAAAAGTTCGTATATGTAAAGACTTTTATTTTATTACATAATTGTACAACCACCATCATCTTGCGGTTTTTCAGTGGCTTCAGCAGTTGCGATAGATGGAATGGATAGTTTAATGACAACTTCAGTCTGGTTCATTTTGTTAGGAAATTTAAAGAATTTAATTGATTTTAAGAGTTTGAATTATGCGAAAAAAACTATCAAAGTATTTTTTCTTTTTTTTTTTTGATTGAATTTTAATTTTCTGTCTTAAGAAAATTTTTTGCTAATTTATACTTTTTCATACTTTTGGATTGAAAAACTTTTAATATTGTGTGCATTACCCATGTCTCCGTGTTTGAAAAACAATTAGTAATTGATCTACAATACGTAGGAGCTGAAACATCACAACAAACAAAAGAATTTTCATACAGACAATATTTTCACCATGTTTCTGTGTGAACAATATTTTTTAAAAATTCAGTACGAGTATTGTCCTAAAATACTATATTGTTGTATTATCTATCTTTATCTATATTATTTGAAATCATTGCAGTCATGTGGTGTCACGTTAAGACTCTTTTGAATTGTGTAATTGTGTAGCTTTTCTCCCACTCGTCGGTTATGTTTAATCAAATCCAAAAGGAATAGTATTCCTAAGGAAATTTTTGGTTACATTAATTTCCAAAAAGGAAATATCGTCTCACGCCGCTTTTCAGCAACAGGGGATGTTCCTCTTCTTTTTTACCTTGACGGACAATAATCGGATCTGCATAAAAATAGCCAATGTGACAATGTCAATAAATGATCGGCAAATTCGTGATGATATAGAGATGTCGAATTGAAATAGATACACAGTGAAATTCGATAAATCGGATCTATCGGTTCCACTAAAAATATCCGGTTTATCGGTATAGCGAAACAATTTTCGATATATTGAAAATCTATTATACTAAAATTTTCATGCTAATAAACTAATATACACTATAATTTAATTTTTTCATCTTAGTTTTAAGTCATATAGGCCATAAAAATGATTTTTAATTGAGTATGTAATACATAACTTTAGCCGGAATTAAGATTTTTATAATTCTGGCCAAAATTAAGATTTACTGCATCACGTTACTCAAATTTTATTGGTCAATGATTATGGGATCCAGTTTATTGAATAGCTGGTTTGAAAATTGATCCATTATAGCGAATATCGAGCTTTTACTAGTAAACTCCGGTATATCAAAACTATTTTAATATACGTGATTTGGTTCCAGCAAAAAAGTCCGGTTTAGGCCCAAATCCGGTTTATCGAAGATCCGGTTTATCGAATTTCACAGTGTATAGTAAAATGAAATATTAAAATTTTGTATATTTTAAGGTGTAAATCTGACACACACGCATAGTAAACTCATTATTTTGCATATGAATGTATAACTTTTTTTTGCAAATTCGTTTTTTTCAATTATTTTTTCAGTATATCATATGATTTTTTTTTATAGTCAATATGCCATCTATGAGATATCCTTTTTTGAAGTTTGTGTTCTAGCACAAAATCGGCAAATTTAACCCCGAATTTTATTAGTAATGCAGTGCTAATTTTAGGCAGATCTGCAATTAAGAAAAAACGGTTTTGGCATTTTTTTATATAATATTATTAAAAAAAAATGCTGAAAACGGTTTTTTTTATTATTACTATTAAGAAAAAACGTTTGGGCATTTTTTTCACATAAAATTATAAAAAAAAAAATGCTGTGACATTTTTCTTAACATTAAATTATTATACAATTTTATTTTTTTAATAAAAAAAATGTTTTTTATTTTTTCTTTAACTAAAAACATGTCAGATTTGATGTTTTTCATTAAAAAAAAGTTTATTTTTTTATTTAAACTAAAAAATGTCAGATTTGACATTTTTCATTAAAAAAAAAACTTTTTTTTATTTAAAACTAAAAACATTAGATTTGACGTTTTTCATTAAAAAAACCTGATTTTTTTTATTTTTTTAACTAAAAACATCGGATTTGACGTTCTCAATTAAAAAACCATTTTTTTATTCTTTTTTAATGAAAACATCAGATTTGACATTTTTCATTAAAAAAATGATTTTTTTTTGGTTTTTTTAATTAAAAACATCAGGTTTGACGTTCTCAATTAAAAAACCCCATTCTTTTTTAACAAAAATATCAAACTAACGAAAATGTCAAGTTTGACATTTTTAAGTAATGGGTCAAGCAGGTCAAACAGGTTGGATCATCAAACTGTGACCTGACCCGAGATCAGGTCATGAATTTGATGACCTGACCTGAAATTTTTGGGTCAACCCAATGGGTCACTTGAATTGATCCAACCCGTTTGAAACACTAGTGATATCACATATATCATGATTGGCAAGTGATCGACATTGTGATATAATGCATGTCCACCTTGCGGCGACTGGTTTCCATTTTCTAGTTTTTATTTAAATCAAAGAAAATGTATAAATTCCTTCTAGTTTAATAATTTCTTCTATTATGTACAATTTTTTAAAGAAAAATATATAAAAGAAAAAAATAATAAAATCTTAAACCACAATAACAATTAATTATGGTTTTATTCTTATTTTTATTTTACCAGTAATTAGTTAGTATACATATAATTATAAGAAATAACAAAATAATCTAAACTAAAAGAAGAGACAATAAATCTACTTCAACGGTGAAAATGAAACTATTTAAAATCTTTCTACAAAAAAAATTAAAAAACTCCTATAAATGATCATTTTTTTAGTTTTCATTCCGAAGAAACTCAGACACATGATCATTTTTCTGAAAAATTTTTATAGGGTCTAACAAACTAAACTTTAAAAACATTTCGATAATTAACCCACTCCTCCCA